CTTCCTTCCCTCCCTCCCTCCCTCCTCCCTCCTCCCCTTCCTTCCTCCCTCCCTCCCTTCCTCCCTCCCCCCTCCCTCCCTCCTTCCTTCCCTCCTTCCTTCCTTCCTTCCTTCCTTCCTTCCTTCCTTCCTTCCTTCCTTCCTTCCTTCCTTCCTTCCTTCCTCCCTCCCTCCCTCCCTCCTTTTCCTTCCTTCAATCCTTCCTTCCAAGGAGCAGCTATTGGGACTTATCCCAGTGGTAGCTGAGACCAGAACTCATCTGCATTTAGACATGAACTTGGTGGGACCAATGCTATATAGAAATTATGCTAAGTCTGAGCCCACTTTCCATAGAGACCAAGGTGACATAGGGTAGAATGTGTTGGGGGATAGGAGGCATGGAGAATGTTGTAGTTCTGTTTTCACTACATCTCTGAAGTAAATATCACTTTGTAAAAATTAATTATGGTTAATTGCTTAAATGGAACTGGGGTCCTAGGCACTGGTGGCTAACAGTGAAGAGAAACTATCTAGGTATGGAGGTTTGAGCCAATGGCATTAAAGTCATCTTAGCCCCTCAGGGTACCCTTAGAATTCTGAGGGAGAGATATAGACTACTTTATTCTGGGATGGAGAGACAAGAGAGCGTTTGATATATACAAAAATAAAACCAATGAAGTTAGAATTAGAACAGAAGAAGTTAATTGGGGGAAAAATCTTTGCAGCAAATATTTTTTGACCCTGTATAGTATATATAATTGATGCAAATGTATAACAGAGACATTCTCCAATAGATAAATAGTCAAAGGGTAATTTTCAAAAGAAAAAATTCAAGCTATCAACAATTCTGTGAAAAGATTACCCCAAATAACTAATAATAAGAGAAATACAAAATAATTCTGGAGTTTCATCTCACACTCATAGGGATGGTAAAGATGACAAAATATGAAAAATGGCAAATATTGGACATCTGTTGGAGGACAGGAACAGTAATGTCCTGGTGGTGGAACTGTGAATTGGTCCAACCATTCAGAAAAACAATTTGTAATTATACTCTCAAAGTCACTAAATAACGCTGAAGCCTCTGACCCAGCAATACTACTACTATTAGGACTCTACCTCAAAGAGATCAAAGAGGGAGAGAAAGAATCTTTATTTATAAAAAATATTGATAGCAGTAGTTTTATTATGGCTAAGAATGAGAAACAAAGCGGGTGCTCATCAATTGGGAAATGGCAGAACAAATGGTCATATTTCAATGTAATAGGCTATTATTATACCATAAGAAAAGACAAATATGAAGAATTCAGTGAAACTTGAGAAGACTTATATCAACCGATTCAGAGCAAAATAAGCAGAACCAGGAGTATAATTTTTATAATAATTACAATAATGTAAAGGTAAAACTTTGAAAGTCTTCAGAATTCTGATCAAAGCTGTAGCTAGTTATGGCTACCAAAAGACTAAAGGTAAAGTATGCTCCCTGTTTCTCATCAGAGAGGTAAGGAATGAGGCATACATTTTTCAGACATAGCGAATGTACTGATTTATTTTATTTGACTCTGTTCATTATTTTTAAAGGAACATACCAATAGTATGAGTTAGCAAGAAGTGGCAGAGATTCAAACAGAAATCAATAAAATATTTTAGAACAGAAGAAAACAAAAAAGTTTCAGCAGGAACACAGAAACAAACAGAACAATGTTGTTACTACTGTGTTAAATTTAATATATATACTTAGAAAAAACTACATGTAACAGAAATTCATGGCTTGGTATACAATCTGTTTTGCTGGTCTTTGTATGTTTGAATGTTTATGTTTGTTGATGATTGAGTTCATAATAAAAAAGAAAAATTTTAAAAGATTTAAAATTCAAATAAAAAATTTTTTAGAAAAAAATTTGCTTGTACCTGAAGATTAGCTAGCATGATAAATGGAAATTCTTGTCTAAGTCAATGCCCCGCTGCTTTCCTGGGACCAAACTCTTGATTTTTGGGCCCTGGACCTTGACCCCTGCCATTTCTCCAAGATTTGGCTGTGGTTTTGGCTTTTATTGATTTACTTCAATCACCACAATTTCCTTTGCACCAGTTAGCACTGGAATCAACAACCCTAGCCACACACCTTGGCCTTCCTCCTCATGACTACCTGGTTCCATCAGTTGTAAAGTCAACATCACCAGCCACCAAACCTCTGCATGTTCCATTATGTTCTTGCCCAAACTTGCATCCCATCGCCTAGGCCAGAATATTGGGGATGAAACTTCTCAACAACATGGGAAGTCCTAGCACCAAGAAATCTCTGGAACTGTAACCTCTACCAGGGAAACAATACTATGGTAGCCCGAATTCAGAGGAGTTACCATGGAATCCTGATAAGACATTTCCTTTCTCATTCAGCAAGGACAGGCCCCTGAGAAGACAAGGAGTTGACTAGTGTGAATGTATTAAGGGTCTGAGATAAAAGGGGGAAACCAGGGGCTGTAGTAGAGCAGAGCCTCTTTGAGAAGCCAAATAAAGGACAAACAGGACTGGGACTAAAGAACATCTTATAGTGGAAAGACCCAGGAAACTTGGTTTTTCTACTTGTTATGTGATCTATTCTACTGAGTGTACTGTATGCACTTATTATACTTCTATATGAAAATCCAGAAAACTGGAGTATAAGTGAAAGGGCAGAATTGTAGAGAGCACTGGAGTGAGGATTAATAGAGGGAGAAATAGAAGTGATATTATAGTAGATCAATATTACAGACCAACTAGCCAGAAGGAGTATGTGAATGATGCATTCCAGAAGTAGATCACAAGGGTGGTACAGAAGCAGGTCCCGGTAGTGATAGAGGTCTTCAACTATACAAGAATGTTGTTGTTCACTTGTTTCAGTCCCGTCCAACTCTTCATGACCCTGTTTGGAGTTTTCTTGGCAAAGGTGCTGGAGTAGTTTTCCATTATCTTCTCCAGCTAATTTTACAGATGAGGAAACTGAGGCAAACAGGGTTAAATGACTTGCTCGGGTCACACATCCAGTAAGTGTCTGAGGGCAGATTTGAACTCATGAAGATGAATCTTCCTGATTCTAGGCTCAGTGCTCTATCTGTACCAACTAACTGCCCATCCCCATTTTACAGATAAGGAAACAGATTCAAACAGGGTTACGTGACTTCCTCAGGGTCACACAGCTAGGAAGTGTCTGAGGCCAGATTTGAGCTTAGGAAAATGAGTCTTCCTGACTCTAGGCCCTGCACTCTATTCACTGCATTATTCATTATTCCTGTACAAGAATAGGTAAAGCCAAAAAGGATCTTAGGGATAATGAAGTCCAAACCTGTCAGTTTATGGATGAAAAAATGAGACCCCAAAAGGTTAAATGATTGGCCAAGGTCATATAGATGATATGTAAATATCAGAACTTGGATTCAGACCCCCGTTGTCTGACTCCAGGTCTCACATCCTTTACACAGCCCCATATCTGTTTCTCTGTCTGTATCTGTCTGTGTCTGTCTTTCTCTCTGTCTCTTTCTATCTTTTGAAAAAGCAGAATAGCTAATAAATTCTTGCTGCCTTGATGATCCTTTCATTCTTCTGCATGGAAAGGAAGTGACAAGGAGAACCACTATTCTGGACCTGATTGTGATCAACAGAGAAAGACTGATGGCTGAAACAGAAATAAAGGGAAACCTGAAAGAAAGTGAATGTGCCACTTCGGAGTTCTTAATGAATAAGGAGGGGAAGGGCAGGCAGAGTCTGATCTACCCCCCTAGATTTTGGGAAGTCAGTTCTCAAAAGGTTCAGCAAAAGTCTAGGTGGAATTCTAGAGTCCAAAGTTTCAAAGGAGATGGAAGCTTCTGAAGAACAAAATTCTTTTTTTTTTTTGCCTTTCTGATACAAGACTCATGAGAAGTATAAAAGGTAAACATAAAAGAGAAATCATAAGGGACTCAATTAAAGTAAACTGTTTACATTCTTATATGAGTTTGGTGTTGTGCTCTGCTGTTAAATCATAGAGCTGTGAAAAGGCCTGAGATGTTAGCACTAGAACTCTGAAAATTTCACGGGACTAGGTAAAATACATGGGACTTCACCACATCATCCCCATCACAACAGTATGGTGTGGGAAGGCCATGCTAGTGGGGGCATTTAAGAAAGAAGGCAGACAACCAGTTGCCAGTGGACAATGAGGCTGACCATGACCTTGTTGTCTTTAGAGGACTGGTTTGTTTGTGCAGCAAAGATCAATTCCAGGTAAGCTACAGCTCTAAGAAAGGACATGGCTACCTGGTATGAGCTTTGTGGAAAGTGTCCCTGATGTGGGCATGTCTCCAGTAGTAGGAAGGCAGCTGGGGTTGTGTCTGGTCTCCTTCCCTAGCCATCTTGTGCTCTGTGGCTGTATGGTTGAGTTTTTTCAGGCGTGTCTGACTCTCTGTTACCCCATTTGGAGTTTTCTTGGCAAAGATACTGGCGTGGTTTGTCATTTCCTTCTCCAGCTCATTTTACAGTATTTGGTACTTTCCCTAGTGGGAATTGGAGGGGAAGGGAGTGGGGAGTCAGTTTTCTGGTCAGGGCTACATCACGAATGATATGGCTATTCAAAGACAGCCCAGGCTGCATTTCTGATATGGAGATTGTTATGAGACTCTGTGGCTTTTGCTGTTATTCAGTCGTTTTCAGTCATGTCCAACTCTTCATGACCTCATTTGGGGTTTTCTTGGCAGAGATACTGAAATAGTTTGCCATTTTCTTCTCCAGCTCATTTTACAGATCAGGAAACTGAGGAAAATAGGGTTAAGTCACTTGTCCAGGGTCACATGGCTAGTAGGGGTCTGAGACTAGATTTGAACTCAGGAAGATGAGTCTTCCTGACTCCAGGCCTGGCACTCCATCCACTGTACCAACTAGCTGCCCGTGAGACTGCACCATCATCCTAAAAGCATTTTTGAGAGTCTCCCCCTCCCCCATCACATAGGTGTTTATTGTCCAACAAGGATGGAGGACCCTTGTCACAAACACAACACCACACACCATGACAGAAGAATAATAATTATTATAATAGCAATATTTTACATCTAGGTTCACACCTACCTGCCTGAAGCATCTACAAACTACATATTTACAGTATATATAAGTAGGGTGGTGGTCTTCCACCCCAGCCCCTCAAAGCCCTCTGGGTTGAGGGGCAAGTCTGTGCTGGCGACCCACTCCTCCAGGCCAGCCTGCTGGGAAGGAGAGAGGTGGTGGGGGCAGAGGGGGCAGAGTGGAGGTTGCAGAACTTTCTGCACCTCCCCAGGGACCCTCCCTCCCACACAAATAACTCGATGGGTATTATCATTCCAGATATCAGCAAGTGCCTGTCCTAAGCCAGAAGGATGACCTGGGAGGGAAGGTGGATGTGCAAATGGGGGATGAAGCAGGGGGACTTTGGTGGCCTCCCTGGTTCTTGTTTGTCCTATATTGTCTCCTGGAGGCTGGTGAAGATGGGGCATTACATACACATGGGATGCATGCGCACACAGATGCGGGAGCTCATGCTGTGCCCCAGAGAGCGTGCCCACGATGGCATGCACAGCCAGCCAGGGGCACAGTCCTGGGCCTGGCCCCATGCAGTAGCAGGTGGAAAGAAGCAGCCCAGGCCCTGCCTGGGGAAGGGGAGGGGAGGCCGGCGGGGAGTCAGAGGGCAGGGGAGGCCGAGGAGTCTTCTGGGTCCCCGTGGGCAGGGGCAGGAGGCTCAGTCTGTGGTGGGTGGGTCTGTGGAGCCACCCCATGGGGTTGTTTCTCAGGCAGGCTCGGCTCTCGGGCTGGCAGCTGCAGGAATTCCGGGAGTACCAGGTCCTCTTTGCGAAGCAGCCCCCGTTGGTCGTCAGCTCTGCTGCTCTGGACCCTATTAAGCAGCTCCACCAAACCTGGTGAGGGCAAGGAAGAGGGACTCAGCTGGGCTGGCACAACACCACACCCCTTCCCCCCCAGCCTCCCTCCCTCTCCCCTGGCTCACTCCTCCCCGGCTGAGCTCAGATCAGCCCATACTGCTCCCCTGGGTGTTCTCTCCCCCACCACCCCCAGCCCCAGGCCCCTGCCCCCTTACTCCCTCTCAGAAAGGCCCAGGAAGCTCCTTCCCTGCCCCTGACCATCCCTAGAACCAAAGATGGCCTGGCACCTTCAATGTCACACGTGTGACGCTTCCCAGCGCTCCTGGGCCCCTCGGCCAGCGAGTTGGTGAGCAAGGAGGGAGGCTGTGATGTCTTTCCCTCAGTCTGGAGGGGGCCGCCCTGCAAGGACACTGAGTTAGTGCCTTCTGGGGGACGGGTCGGCTTCCTGGAGGAGGGAGAAGAACTAGGCCTGCCCCAGCCTTACCTGACTCTGACTAGGAGAGGTGGACTCAGTTCTTGTGATCTTCACGCCTGCAATAGACAAGTGGCTTTGTTTGGATCCACCACACTTTCCCCTGCCCAGTCCCACCTCCTCATGAATCCCAAGAGAGTAAGTCAGGGTTGACACTAATACTCTCCCCTATTCTGGTGGCAGTACAAGGGGAAGAGGAAGGAGCTTTGGGGCTCAGCTGTTCCTAGCCTCCTAAGGAAAGGGGTTTTTTTAATATGTCTGACCTTCCTCTCTCCAGATGCCAACCCCTCCTGTCCCATCTATAGAGCTGTTGACCTTGACTTCTATTTTCTCGTGCCCCCCCCTTTAAAATTTTTTGAACTAGAACTATGATTTCATTGGTGTAGGGAACTCCTCGAGGGGAAACTCTACCTACCAGTACAAACTGGTACCTGCTCTGCAATTTATATTATAGGGAGAGTTTCCAGGGATACTGAGACCTAAAGTGATTTACCCAGGAGCACACAGCCAGTATGTGAAATGGGAACTCAGATCTTCCTGACTCTAAGGCTGGCTCTCCTCACCACTACACTGCCTCTTACTTTACCTACATAGAAGATTTAGAGCTAGAAGAGACCTTCAAAACATCTAGTTCAATGTCTACATTTTATAGACGGAGAAACTGAGGCCCAGAGAGGGTAAGTGATAGACAAACAGAAAAACAGATAGCTAGATATAAAGATGGGTAGATAGAAGAACAGATATAGACAGACAGACAGACAGACAGACAGACAGACAGATAGATAGATAGATAGATAGATAGATAGATAGATAGATAGGTAGATAGGTAGGTAGGTAGATAGATAATATCAGAGCTAGGATTCAAACCCACATCTTTCAACTCCAAGTCTGGTGTTCTCTCTTAAAACTCATCAAATCAGATCCAGCGAGGGGGCACAGTGGATAAAGCACTGGACTTGAAGTCAGTAAGACGTGGATTCAAATGTAGCTTCAGATAACTTACTGTGTAACCTTGGGCAAGTCACTTGTAACCTCTGCCTGCCTCGCTTTTCTGTAAAATGAGGATAATAACACCTACGTCTCAGGGTTGTTGTGAGGATAAAATCAGATAATGGGCTTGGCAAACCTTAAAGTGCTATCTGAATGCTGGCTCTTATTACTTTGCCTTGCTTCCCGCAAAAGAGCTTGCTTAGGGCAGGCAGACAATAAATAATGGGCATTGGGGGATCAAATTTAATTTAAGGATCCCCTACCGCATGCAGGGCCCTGTGCCAGACTTTGCTGTGAGAGATAAAGAGATGAACAAGATATAACCCTTCCCCCCAAGGAGCTCATAGTCTAATAGAGAAGATAGAATATTACAGATTGAATTTTTTGTTGTTGTTCAGTCATTTTTAAAATACTAAAGAGTTAATGGAAGTGTTTTGCATGACTACACATCTAAAACCTGTATCGAGATGCTTGCCTTTTCAATGAGGGTGGGTGGGGAGGAAGGAAGGGAGAAAATTTGTAACCTAAAGTTTTAAAAACACGTGTTAAAAAAATAACAGAATAAAAAAATAAAAGAAACAAAATACTAGAGAGTTAAATAACAATTCAAGATTTAACAGCTAACTGTTAAATAATGACAAAAGAGTTAATAGGTAATAGCTCAAGATGGCCCTAGAGGAGATGGGAGGCCACACCTGATTGAGGGCCAGATGAGTGGGGCAGTCAGTAAGTGCCACATTTAGTCATTTTTCAGTCGTCTGACTCTTTGTGACCCCCCTTTTGTTGCGGGGAGGGGCTCTGGCAAAGATATTGGAATGGTTTGCCATTTCCTTCTCCAGTTCATTTTACAGATGAGGAAACTGAGGCAAAAAGTGTTAATTGACTTGCCCTGCATCACACAGCTACTAAGAGTCTGAGGCTACATTTGAACTCAGGTCTTCCTGACTCCAGCCCTGGCACTCTATCCACTGCACCACCTAGTTGCAAATGCCATAGAAGGGTCAAAGTAAAGGCTGCTTTGAGACATAGCCTGGCACCAAAGAAAAAGCTTGAAGTCAGAAGGTCATCGATAAGAAGAAAGTTTCCATATGGACTAAAATCTTTATAGCAGGATGTATGGTGTTGGCAAAGAACCGGAATGAAGCAGATACTCATGGGTCAGGGCATGGCTGAACCAGGTGTGGTACATGGATGTCATGGAATATGATTATGCTGTAAGACATGATGGATGTGATGAATACAGAGAAGTTTGGACAGATGGACATGAACGGATGCAGAGCAAAGTAAGCAGAGCCCAGAAAACAACATACACAATAAATACAGCAGTGTGAATGGAAAGAACAGCCACACACACATACACACACACACACACACACACACACACACACACACTCACACACACACACGAATGTCGCAAAATTACAAAGAGCAAAGATGCCCCAAAGAAGAGATGTCCCCACTCCTTTGGAGAGTTAGAAGATCCACAGATGTGCACTGCACATATTTTCAGACTTTTTTGCTGTATTGACTGGTTTTTCTGATTTTTTTTTCTTCTTCCTCTTTTTATTTCCCCTTAAAAAAATATTCTTTGTTGCATGAGCTGGCTCTCTGGAAGGAAAAGGAGAGGGGTACTGGGAGACATTTTGGTAAGGTTAAAAAAAAAGATATAAAGAAGAATAATTTAATTTTAAAAAGTGCTTAGTCATGAAGAATGGGTTTGAATCCTGCCTCCGACATTTACTGAGTGTCTGACACAGACCAAATTGCTGAATCTCTCTGAGACAGCTTCCTTGCGTGTAAAGGGAGAACAATAATAACTGTGGCCCTCTCCACCTCACTACTGGAGAAAAGTGCTTTGTAAACCTTAGGGGTTTGGGGGAATGGGAGCCGGTGTTATTTAGGGTGGAGTGTGTATATGTTCATGTGTAGGTGTGTTCACATGTATATATATTCATGTGTGTATATGGTCATGTGTATATGTGTATGGCAGTGTGTATGTGTAATATGTTCATGTGTATGTGTATTGTGGGGGAGCATTTTAGGCCTACACTTCCTCATCTCTGCTTCTTCATCTCCACATAATTCTCTCTATCATTCCTTTGCTTTTCATCCTTTCTCATGCTTTTCATCCATTCTCTCTCTCTCTCTCTCTCTCTCTCTCTCTCTCAGCAATTGGGGTTAAGTGACTTGTGCAGAGTAACACGGCTAATGAATGTTATGTGTCTGATGTTGGATTTGAACTCAGAACCTCCTGACTCCAGGGCAGGTACTCTATCCACTGAACCACCTAGCTGCCCCATTTCATCCATTCTTAAAAAGAAAAATTGTCTTTAGCTTTGTCTCCAAGGTTAATTTCTTTAGGTGTGCACTACATCCCATTCCTCTTGTCTTCTGAGGTATCACTCCCCCACTTATCCATCCCTGTCTTCTCCGGTCTTTTCTTATCTTCTTTCCTTTGTAAACTCTACAGAAAGTCCCCCTTTGACCCCGCTACCTCTTCTAGCCACCATCTTATTTTTTCTTCTTCTTTTCACCATCAAACATCTCAAATGAGGCATCTACAACCACTACCTCCCCTTGCTCAGCATTATGCTTATCATGGTGCCTAGCACACAGTAGGAGCTTAATAAATGTTTATTGACTGCCTGACTGCCTTCCTGACCTAGTCCCTCCTTAAGCACCTCAAAACTGGCTTCCATTCCCACTATTCCACTGACGCTACTCTTTGAGGTCTTGCCAAACCCACTGGTCTTTTCTCAATCTTTAACCTCTGTCTTCTCTGTGGTCCTTCCTGCTAGAAACTCAGTTCCTTTGGCTTCCATGGTACTGCACTTCCTCGGTCCTTCTCCTATCCTTCTGCTTGTTTTTTCCTTTTTTCCTTTTTTCCTTTGTTATGTCTTTTTGTACCTGCTGGCCCCTCACTGTGGGCATTCTTCAGAGCTCAGTCCTGCTGGCCCAATGACCTTCTCTTTCTCTGCCTTCTACCCTTGTGAACTGACCTCATATCGTGACTGCTACCACTATCTCTGTTATGATGACTCTTAGGTGAACAAGGGACTTGGAGACAATGCTATATAAGGTTCAGGTGAAAGGACAGAGGATGCTGCTGAGCATCTGGAATAGAAGCCTTCATGGGTACATAGTCTGTCCAGTTGCGTCCAACTCTCTGTGACCCCATTCTGGGTTTTCTTGGCAAAGATACTGGAGTGGTTTGCCATGTCCTTCTCCAGGTCATTTTACAGATGAGGAAACCACGGCAAACAGGGGTAAGTGACTTGCCCAGGGTCATACAGCTAGTAAGTATCTGAGGTCAGATTTGAACTCAGGAAGATGAGTCTTTCTGACTGTAGGCCTGGAGCCCTATCCACTGCACCACCTAGCTGCCCTTAGGGATGCAGTCACTATCTTCAAACATTTGAAAAGATACATAGTGAAAGGGGGCTTCGAGTTGCTTTAATTGACCCCAGAATGTAGAAATAGAAACAATGGGAAGAAAACTTTCTTATGACTAAAGCTGCCTAAAAATAAAGTGCTTTTCCATGGGAGAAGCCAGAAAGCCCCTAGAGATAGTGAGTTCACCATGCCTGGGGGAATAGATTTGTTGGAATGTTGCAGAGAGGATTCCTGGTCAGGTATGAGTTAGACCAGGTATTCCCTGGTTCTGAGATCTTCTGATGCCTATTTTCTATAATGTCCAACTTTGTATCCTGGCATTCAAGGCCTTCCACCTTCTAGTCCCAACCCACCTTTGCAATCTTTCCCCCCCTGCTCAGAATGTCCTTCCTCCCCCCTCCTTCAAACCTTCCTCAACAATTTCAGCTTGCATAGATCAGAGTTTTGGTGCTAGAAAGGATCTTAAAGTTATGTAGTTCAAGCTTCTCATTTTACAGATGAGGAAACAGGCAGAGTAAGATGAAGTATGACCCATTGGCTGTCACACAGTGACTTAAATGGCAAAGCCAACACTTGAACCCGGCTCCAAGTCTAGCATTCTTCCCATAGTGTAAGCTGCCTCTAGGGGTGGAGCTCCTTTTCTTCAATACCCCATCCTTGGCACTGACCCTATGTAGCTGGCCCTGTAACAAGGCCTTGAGTGACACAGGCACTTAATAATGTAAACTTTTTGTGTTGAATTGAACAGATTTAGATGGAATTCTGTTCATGCCCTGCTGGTGTCTCCCATTTCTTCTGTATTCCCTCTGGAACCAGCATGGGGCTTGGGAAGATAATCTGAGTGACACAACCTTGGGGGTGCAGAGCCTGTGGGCCCCTGTACCTGGAAGAGTGTCCAAGACGAGTCTCTGGGCGGATACAGAGCTCACAAGCTTCTCCAGATCTAGAGTCCGCTTCTCACCTGACTGTAGGGGCACAGGGTCAGGGGTTGGGAGAGATCAGGGCTCCCTCTGGGGCTCAGCTCAAGTGCCGCCTCCTACAGGGGATCTTCCTGAATGCCCACAGGTGCCAGAGCCCTCCCACCCCCACCCCTTGTCAGAAGTTGCCTGTATTTTTTTTTTCAATCTAGACCTGTGATTTAATCACCTACCTGGAGGGAGGGGAGAGTGTTGTGAGAATCAAACGAGATGATATTTGTAAAGTATTAGAATAGTGCCTGGCACATAGTAGGTGCTTAATAATTGCTTGCTCCCTCCTCCCTTCCCTAATCACCAGAGGGAACTCTCTCTGCCAATACAGACCTGAAACTTTTGTAGTTTATAGCTTAAAAGAGTTTCCCTGAGGGTTTAAGTGGTTTGTCCAGAGTTATACAGCCAATATGTCAGAGATGGGACATGCAATCAGGCCATCCAGCCTCTGAAGCTGGCTTTCTGGCCAGTCTGGCCTGTCTGCTTGGGTTTCACTTTGTGCAGCTTTTGTATTCACTCATTTCAGCACCAGTTATGTGCCCTGCTCCCTTTATGATGTAGGTTTCTGAAGGGCAGGGACTGCTTTGAGGTTTTTTTATCTCTTTATCCCTAGTGCCAGGCACATAGGGGGCACAGTAAGTATATGCCTATTGAACTAAACCTCCTCCCTCTTCTGCCCAGATTTTCTCCCTTAGTGTCCCCCCACGCCCCTTCTCTCTCAGCCTCTCACCACCCCTTCCCCACCCTCTCCCCTGAAGCCCTTGTCTTGTCTGGCCACAGAATCCTTACTCCTCCCTCCCTGCTCCGGGGGCCCAGGAAGGATGGGGTGAGATGCCCTAGGTGAGGGCTGAGCCAATGTAAGCACGGGTACGTGTGAATGTGTGTGGACTGTTAGGGGTGGGTGTGACCTCACCAGATGTACTGATATCTGCTGCAGGCTCAGGCCATGCTTTCCCAGGATGGGGAGCAGGGCTTCCTTCAGGCGCTTGGAAGATTTGCTTGTGATCCTGACCACTTTGCTCAGAGCTGTGATCTCCAACCTAGAGGACAGAATGTCACAGCTGGAAGGGACCTCGGAGGCCTTCTCCTCCAGACTCCTTCTTTGATGAAGGAGGAAACTGAGACCCAGAAAGGGTTGTCCCAGGTCATAGCTAGTCAATAGCAGGGCCAGGCCTTGAATTCAGTTGTTCTGCTCTTCAGGAGAATGGGAAAGGGCTTGTCTCTCTGTCTCTCTTATCTCTCTGCCTCCCCCACTCCCCCAATCTTTCTGGATCTGTTTCTGTCTCTGCCTCTGTCTCTCTCCACCCCATCCCCATACACACATATAATCCTTACCCTCAACCTGCCCCTTCAAACCCAAAGATCTATAGCCTCTAGTCTGGTCTGGCAGAGCAAGGGGAAGAGATGGAGGCCCTTGGGCTCCACCTGCATGGGAGAAAGGAAGGGCACTCACTCAAAGTTGATTCTGTTCTCCAGCTTCACCTCCTGGTCAGCCAGCACTGTGCAGTCCTGGTCCAGGACCAAGGCCTTCTGTGGACACAGTCACAGGGGCTCAGTAAAGACACTGGAGGCCTCCTCTCCAGGCCTTGGGAAACCCAAAGGAAGAATCCCTCCCCCCCATACACACACACACACACGCGCACACACACATACACACACACACACACACACACACACACCAAATTCCAAGAATAACTGCTAAAAGGCCAGAGGGCTTGGCAAAACCTAAAATTCTGGTGTCAGGGTCTGATATTGTGAACCCTTTGATACTTTCCAGGACAGATAGTCTAGGCTCTGAGCCCTGAGACATGGAGGGAAGGAGTTAGTGTTAGGAATAAGGAGAACAGAGACAAGGTTAGGTGGGGTGAGAGACAATGATGAAGGTCAGCATTATTTCCACTCAGCCCTCAAGTCTTACGGCTTCTTCACGTCTGCCTCTCCCACAATCCCACCTCTTCCATGCCTACGATCACCCCTTTAGTCTTCCTTCATCTAGTCCCCCCATCACCTAATGCCCCCATTCATCTTCCCACCACCCATCTGGCATTCGGCCTAGTTGGCCTTGTATTGTCAATTATGCCTTTTGTCATTGCCTTGTCTGTGACCCGCGATAGATTATAAAGTCCTGGAAGGCAGGCATGGTGTTGTGCCAGTGGCTAACTCTTATGATCACAGAATGTTGGAGCTGGAAGACCCCCTCAGACATCACCTTGTTCAGTCCTTCCCTTTTATAGATGGACAAGCTGAGGCTGAGGGAGGGAAAGGCATGTGCCCAGGGTCACACTTACACACACAGTAAGAAAGAGACAGATCCAAGACCTCACATATCCTGACTTTCAGGCTAGGGCTCTTAATTTCTACCCAGACAAGATCAGTGGCAGGGGCATGACTAGGGATCAGGTCAGGGTTAAAGGCAGAGTTAGGATTAGGATTGTGCTTTTTTTCGGGGGGGGGGAGTCAGGTGTTCAGATTGATATTTAGAGCTCAGTTCCTACCTGTTCGTTGCCCACCAGGTAAACCTTGATGTCAGGCAGGGACAGGCCTCGCTTCTCACAGATGCTGGCCAGCATAGAGCGGATGGTTAAGCCAGGGCGGACGAGAGCCAAGGATGCCGTGCCATCTGGCAGATATACGCAGCAGTAACGTCCAACCCGACTCTCACCTTCACCCTCAGTGCCCCCCAGGCTCTTCCGGTGACTCTGAGTCTAGGTGGATGACAAAAACACACACATGCACAGACATGCACAGATGCTCTGTGAACGAGTGTGGGGAAAGTGCATGGGAATATACCCTAGAGAGGAGAGGATCTGTTTACTGAGGGGAACAGATGGGTGAAATCACTGGGGAAGGGGAGGTCTTATAAATGACTGGGGTAGAGAGCCAGGGCAGGGAACTTGGAGGAGAAAGCTACAGGCCCCAGGTTGTTGGGGTTGGGGCGAGTGGGAGGAGAGAGACCCTCACCTCAGATTTGCTACTGACAAATGCCAGGAAACCAAGGTCAAGGCTGGCGGAAGAGTTGAGGGAGCCTTGGGACTCTCGGCGAAGGGCCGGGTTCCCATTGGTGATGCCTAACTCTGAGGGGAAGAGAAAAATGGTCTTTAAGTGAGACCCCTTTCCCAGGTTGCCCCCTCACATGCAGATAGCAACCCATCCACTCTTGCCCATCCTGTGGTATTCTTGTCCATGCTCAGAATTACTCATCTGTAATTCTTGAGTAATTACAGAATTACTCAAGAAAACACACACATATACACAAACACACATATACGTGCCAGCATACACATATGCACACACATACATATGTATACAAACATGCATGCATACATACACACAAACATGTCTGTATCTTGGAACCAGACCTTGGAATCCCTCAGAGGTGATTTTTTTTTCCAGGCAATTGTGATTAAGTGGCTTGCCCAGTGTCACACAGCTAGTAAATATCTAAGGCTGATTTTGAGCTCAGGTCCTCCTGACCTTAGGCCAGTGCTTTACCTACTACACCACCTAGCTGCCCCTCAGATGTGACATCTGAGAGAACCTAAGAGCCATGCTGAGGTCTTATAGGACGCAGAGTGGGAAAGATTATTTAATGCCGGACTCTTGCCAGCTGGAGGCCTTCCTTAATTTCTCCAGAGTATTGGGCGCTTGCTTTATGGTGAACTTGTGGGAGAGCATGGACAAGAATACCACAGTATGGGCAAGAGTGGATGGGTTGCTATCTCTTGTAACAGGGGATTGTCCCCCATCGGTGCATCCATCTGAGTGCTGGGTGCTCTGGCTAACAGCCTGGGCTCTGGCCCTGTGATGACTTGGCCCAGGGTTCTGGCGGGCCCTACCCAGCTTTGAGCACCAGCTGCACAGGGGCCTGTGTCATCCTCTGAGGACCACTTCAGTAAGGATCACAGATGGGGAACAGAACTTCCCAGAACCATCTACCAGAGCCCAGTGAGGCAAACATCTCTGTCTGTAGAGGGATTCGAAGTTGCGGTAGTTAGCATTTCCATAGCACCCTAAGGTTTACAAAGCACTTTGCAAATATCATCTTGTCTGATTCTCACAACAACCATGGGAGATAGGTGCTATTATTATTCCTTGTTTGTAGATGAGGAAACTGGGGCAGCAGAGGTTAAGTGAGTGGCCCAGGGTCACACAGCTAGTAAGCGCTTGAGGCCAGCTTTGAATACTGGCTAACTCCAGGTGCAGCACAGATCTTCTGTTTATAGAAACTCAGAAAGCTGGGGCTAGAAGAGCCCTTTAAAACCACCCTTCCACCATACCACCCTGCTTCCCCATACATTGTCCCCTCCCCCAGGCTTTCCTTTGCTCACCCCTTCGGAAGGACTTCCTGGGCCCCCGGCCCCCAAAAGCCTCAGTATTTGGCTGCTGGCCCAGCTCCTCCACTCCCAAGGGCAGCGACTTCCCAGGCTTCAGCTTTGGCTTCTGGGGGGAGAGCCTGGTATTCAGGACCCTGTCCCCTCCAACCCATTCCCAACTGCCCAGCTCCTGTCCAGAGGGTTGGGGGGACTAGGCAGGGCCCAACCCTGCCTGTTTTTCCAGGCTGGCCCACCCTAACCCTCAGAGCTGGGGCTGGAGGTTGGTGCATATCTGTGCCCTCAGGAAGAAACATGATGCCTGAAAAGCAGACTGAACTGGAATGTTTTCAGCTGCATGTGTGTGTGTGTGTGTGTGTGTGTGTGTGTGTGTGTGTGTGTGTGAGAGAGAGAGAGAGAGAGAGAGAGAGAGAGAGAGAGAGAGAGAGCGAGAGTCAGATCAGGGCTCAGCTCTGGGCATACGGATGGCAATGGGAATTCATTCTCAGCACCCAGACCCTCCCTCCCCACGTGGGCACCTTCCGAAATGTGGCATTGGGGCTGCCGGGGTCCGAGGTGCCTGGCTCACACAGGGGCCTCCCTTCTGCTTCTGCCAGGAGACACTCCCGGTACATGGGACTCTTGACAAATCGAGCATAGCTGTCAAACTTCATGAGGTTGAAGATCTGAGGGAAGGAGGGAAAGAACAAAGAGGAGCAGTGTAAAGGGAGGAGAACAAGAGAGGGGGGGAGGGGGAGGGCACAGCATGGGATCCAAGGCTTGGAGGCAACTTAGGGATTATCGAGTGCAGAGATTCTCAACCTGGGGGTCCACAGACCCCCAACAGGCCAAGGGAGCCCGAGAACCCTTGGGGAAAGGCTGGTTCCATTGATAGTGCCCAGCTCTGGGATCATCCAGTCCAGGGCTTCTTAATCTGGGATTTATGGACCCCTACAAAGTCTATGGATAGATTTCCAAGGTCAGTGAAATTGGATGGGAAAAAAATTACATCTTTATTTTCACTAACCTCTAAATGAAATTTGGCCTTTCCTTTAATTATTTAAAAACATTATTCTAAGAGGTGCATAGGTTTCACTAGACCACCATGATGCACACAAAAAAGTGTAGAACTCCTACTCTGGTCCAACCCTCTCATGTTACAGAAAAGGGAAACAGAGGCCCCCCAAAAGAGAGCTTTCTTGTTTGGGATCCCAAAGCGGACTAGGGAAAAGGAGGAGAGGGAAGATAAAGAGCTGAAGGAGAGAGGGAAAGGGAGGGAGCCATCAGCCTTCCCCATAGCCAGGCCCATACCTGCAGCTGCTGGACCCGGAACATGTCAGGGTTGGGGGTGGCCAGCACCTCCTCCCCAAGCCAGGCCTGCCGGTCAATATTCACAGGGCTCAGAGCCTGACTAGACAGGAACTCTTCATAGATGCATCGAGCTTCCTGAGTCAACTGGAGTGGGAGAGTAGAGATGGCAGGGCCGTTCCCAGGAGCAACCTACCATCCCTGCACCTCCATCCTCCTCTGCCTCCATCTGGCCCCTTGCCCCTCTCCCTCCACTCCTAGTCCCCCAGCCCCCCAGCGTCCAACCTGTTGGGTGTCACTGGCTGGAATCTGCTGGAATTGCTCACAGGCTTTCCAGAAGGACAGATTTTCCGCACTGAACTCCTTCTTCAAGAACTCCTAGAAACAAAGACAGGGACTGAGATAAAGGAACAGAAAGATAGAGAAAGAGAAGTGGCCACCACAGCCACACCCCTGCTCAGTTGCCCCAGCCCTGGCACTTACCGTGAAGTAGGCAAGACCCAGCGGATCCTGCAGCAGCCTCTCGAAAGATAATGCCCAGCTGGCCACGGGCTGTTCCTCAGAGGTGAAGGGACTGCTGGGGCCACTGGGCAGGCTGTGGACACTGAGGGTGCTTCCCCGGCCCTCCCCAGCTCCCTCTGGCCCCACTACACTGCTCAGCTCTGGGGGGATGGAGGAGGAGGGGAGAGAAACATATCAACTGCATGATGCATTGAGCCCGGAAGCCCCACATCATATGTGCATGCATTCATTCAATAAACATTTATTATTCCCTACCTCCCCCAGCCAGACCTCTAATTTCCCCTTCAGCCATGCCCCTAATTCTACACACACACACACACACACACACACACACACACACACACACACACACACTCCACCACCCCCACCCCACACACAATAAGACCCTCACACAGAATCAATGCTCCTGGAGGAAAGTGAGACACAAGGCATGCTGTTCTGTCCTCCCTAACCCAAACATGGGATCTAGGCCCCTCCTCTTGATCCTTTAACCAGGATCCAGGCTGGGTCCCTTCCTCCAACTCACCTCCATCAGAGACAGCCAGGACCTGCAAGAGAGAAGAGGGAAGAAGCTGGAGAAAGGTCCAGGCTAGGAGAGATGGGTAGAATTTGTCCCTACTTCTAGAACTTCAGATTAGCCAGTGTTTGTTGTCACTGTTCAGTTGTGTCTGACTCCTTGTGACCCCATCTGGGATTTTCTTGGCAGACATACTGGAGTGGTTTGCCATTTCCTTCTCCAGCTCATTTTACAGATGAGGAAACTGAGGCAAACAGGGTTAAATGACTTGCCCAGGATCCCATAGCTAATATGTGTCTGAGCCACATTTGAACTCAGGTTGTCCTGACTCCAGGGGTGGTGCTCTATCCACTACACCACTATCGACTACGCCCATTTAGCCAGTACAGCCAGGTTACAAAATCACTGAATGCCTGGTCATTGATGAGAGAAGTGGGGAATGGATGGGGAGAGATGGAAGTGGATATGGGGACACACTTGGCTCATCTTGTCCTTCCTTGACCTCTCTGTAGCATCTGACATTGATATTCATCCAAATGCACCCTCTCCTGTCTTCAGCTACACTCAAGTTCCAGGAATCCCTAAATTCTTGAGTGGAAGACAAATTAGATGGATCTCAGGATAACTTCCCCACCCACAGTGACTTCTCTCAGCCACACCTACATCCTGTTGAAAAAGCCCAAAGCTCATAGCAACTGTCTCTTGTTCTGACCTTTCCCTAATCTCAGACCTGACCATTGTGGTCTCCCATTAACCTCTTCCACCCCCACTCTACTCACAAGACTCAAGACTTTAGTTCAAAAAAAAAGGCTCCTCACTACCAAAAGTTTGGGGATCCCTGCACCCCACTGTCTTGACTTTCTTCCTATCTGTCTATTCCTGTGTCTCACTCACTGGCTTCCATTCTTCTTGACCTCTAATCTTGGGTCTTTCCTCTGGCCTCTGGATGTCAACTGTTAGCTGGAGCACTCCTCAGATCTTTCCCCTTATCTCCAGCCCCTCTCCTGAGATCCAGTCCCAAAATTCCATCTTCCTATTGGATCTCCCCGCCTGAATGGACATCTCCCCAGCACAGCCAGTTTAAAATGTCTACCATTATAACGTGTAGATGAAAGAGTACTAGATCGGAATCGGAGAACCAGCCTTTGAATCTCAGGTCTGACCCTTACTGGCCATGAGATCCTGAGCAAAGCACATAACTCTCTGAGCCTCATTTTCTCTTTTGTTAAATGGTGATAAAAATACTATTAAATGATACATAAATGAATATAGCAGGCACCACATGTCTCCCAGGGTAGTTGTGAGGAAAGTCCATTGTAAACATTAAAGCACTTTGAAATGTGATGTGTTTCTTTGGTTTTTTGCTTTTAAACCATAGACTGTGATTACATTGTTATAGAGGATCCCAGATGAGAAACTCCCTCTACCAATACCAAATTAATATTTGTCAAATTGAACTGGATAAAAATTGGGATAAGGTGGAGATGAGGAAAGTAGAAGGTAGCAGTGTAGATGGGTAGGAAGGAGGGATGGGCACAAAGATTATAAAAGGAACATAATGAATTATCAAGCCCACTGTTCCACTGACTTTGAACTTCCCAAGTCATCTTCCCTTAAAGATGCATTCCCAACAATATACTTGTCCCTACATCTCCAAGACCTCAGGAGCTGCCTTCTATGGCCTCCTGTTGTAGGGGAAGTGAGGGCTGAAGAGACCTTCCTCTACCCTGCCCAGTGGGAGGAGAAATGTGCACAGAGAGAAAGGGGAAGGAAGAGTCAGTAGAGACATTGAGGTTGGAAGGTTTGTGGCTTCAGGACCCTTCTCCCACTCTTACCCCACCTCCATACACAACTGGGCCTCAGTTTCTCCATATTCACAAGCAGAGAATGATAATTCTTTCCTTTCTGAGGTAAGCTCTACAAGAATCCTGGATCCCTAGGGCATAGATAGCAAACTGGTAGTGACAATTTTTTGGAGTGAAACTCTCAGTGATAACCTATAGATGCTTTCTAAGGGGCTCCACTGCCTCTTGATTGTAGTCTAAAATCATTAACTGGCATTTAAGGTCCTCCCCAGTCTGACCTTTACTACCTCATACATATCCAGAAACTCCCTGCTGATGCTTATAGACTCCCTGGATGCCTGACCCAGGAAACGCCAGCGCCGACTCCATCTTGGCACCATTCTATCATATGAGGTTGAGGCAGTGGAAAGAGTGAGAGGGCCTGAGTTCAAATCCCAACTCTTCTATTTATTCTCTATGGAATCTTAGACAAGTCATTTGATCTCTCTGGGCCTCAGTTTCCTTATTTATAAAATGAATGAGTTGGGCTAGATTAATTCCAATGTGCCCTCTGGCTTCCAATCTAGGATCCTATGACCCTTTCAAACATCCTTGGAGTGTGCAACTTTGAACAAGGTAGGGAGTGGAGATTGACAGGGATAAATGTCAGTGATCACTGGGACATACAGGAAAGTCCCAATGTGCCTAGAAAAAGAAGCTGTGACCTTGGACTCTGAGGGAATTGCAGCCTCACCCCTAAAGCACGCAGGTGCTGGACGTGGCAGGACTTGGATTGTGGAGCCATCTCTGTGGATCTGGGACTGAGGCTCTGTATGTTGGGAAGAGTGACAGTGACTACCTCTGTGGGCTGTGACTCTGGGACTGTCATCTTGAGATGATGTCTGTGAGCCTGTCACTCTGGGTCTGTGACTGGGAGGCTATCTTTAGGAAACTGTTTCCTAAGTAACAAGTTTGGTTTTAGACACCACTGACATTCAGGGTAGCATGAGGACAAATTGAAAAGATAAAATCTCCTCATTTTGGAAATGAGGCTGAAAGGGTCAGAGAAGAGCTATAAAATCATGAAGGAGATCGCAGCATCAGCACTAGAAACAACCTAACAGATAGATCATCCAATACCCACATTTTAAGCAGCAATTAATAAGCATGATTTAAGCAGTCAGGCAATAAATTTTAATTAAGCACCTACTATGTGCTACACACCATGCTAAGAACTGGGTAAACAAAGAAAGGTAAAATACAGCTCCTTGAGTCAAGGAGCTCACATTCCAGTGGGAGAGACAACATGCAAATAACTACGTACAAACAAACCACGTACAGGATAAGTTGGAAATGATCAACAGAGGGAAAGCACTAGAACAAAGAGGGATTGAGGAAGACTTCCTTTGGAGCTGGGATTGAAGCCAAGAGGCTGAGATGAGGAGGGAGAGTCCCTACCATGTGCTGGGTGCTAGGGATATGAAGATAAAAATGAAATGGTCCCTGCCCTCAAGAACCCTACATTCAATCATGGAAAATGAAATGTACACATTTGTATATGAATACATAAAAAGATATACAAATTAAATATTATTGCCAAGTGGTACTAACAGTTTAGGGAGCTGGGAAGGCTTCACGTAGGAGGTGGCTCTGGGACTTAGCTTTGAAGAAAGCTATGGGATTCTAAGAGGTAAAAGTCAAGAGAAATTTAAGAAATGGCGGACAGCCAGTAGCAAGGTATACAGAAGGGAGGCGGAATTTGTTAAGTGAAAGACAAGAAAGACAGGCCCGAAGAGTGCGTTGTGTAATAAGCCTGGAAAGATAGGCTGGAGCCAGCTTGGAAAGGTCTTTGAATGAAGAGCAGAGAAGCTTGCATTTGATAGCAGAGCTTCTGGAGTTAACTGAGCAAGGAGAGGGACAAGGCCAGACCGATGGTGGAGGAATAGCATTTTGACTGCTGTGTGGAGGATGGATAGGAATGCAGAGAGACTTGAGGCTGGGAGAACAATTAGGAAGCTACTGCAGTAACTCGGACAAGAGACAATGAAGGCATGAACTAGGGAGGTGGTGGTGCAAGTGGAGAGGAGGGGAGATCTGTGAGTGATGTTGTCATGTTAGAAGCAGCAAGATTTGGCAGCTGACTGGATATGCGGAGTGGGGGGAGGTGAGTAGTAGTAGAAAATGGATGGGTGTTTGGGGGAGAGATAACAGTTCTGTCTTGGATGTGTTGAATGAGAGAGGTTTACCACAGACATCTGGTTTGGGATGTCCAATAGATTACCCCCATTTTAGAGCCGAGGAAACTGAGGCCAAGAGAGATGAGTGACTTACCCAGGGTCACACAGCTATTAAGTATCTGAGGTCAGATTTGAACTCAGGTCTTCCTGATACCAGGTTCAGTGCTCTACCCCTCTGCACCACCTACTGCCTTTTATGAGAGATGATGAGGTTGCTACATGAGAACTATAGAGAGAAGAGGACCCGGGACACAATTTTGAGTTACACCCACACTTATGGCCCAGGACATTCATGATGATCCCACAGAGGGACTGAAACAGAGCAGTCAGACAGGTAGGAAGAGAACCAGGAGGGAGTAAGGTCATAAAAACCCAGAGCGGAGAGTGTGTCCAGGAGATGGGGACTGATGGTGTCAAACCCAACAAAGGTCATGAAAGATGAGCAATGAGGAAAGGCCACTGGATTTGGCAAGTAAGAGCTCAATGATAACTTTGGAGGGAGCACTTTCAGTTAAGTAATGACGTTGGAAGTCAGATTGGAGGGAGCACTTTCAGTTAAGTAATGACGTTGGAAGTCAGATTGCAAAGGATGGAGAAGTCAGTGATGGGAGGGGGATTCAAACAGATTATAGGCAGCTTTTTCTAGGCATTTGGCTGTGAAAGGGAGAGGGGACATGGGACGAGGGCTTGCAAGGATGGAGAGGTCAAGTGAGGGCCATTTTACCCATGCAGAAAAGGAGGCCCAGAGAGAGGAAGTAAGTTGCCCAATGTTACACAGTAGATTTAAGTGCCAGACAACATGACTAATGTAGAAATACATTTAATATGATTGTACATGCATAGCCTATATCAGATTGCATGCTGTCTTGGGGAGGGGGGAAGGGAGGGAGGGGAAAAGTTTAGAACTCAAAATCTTAAAAAAGTGAATGTTGAAAACTAAAAATAAGCAAAATAATGTTTAAAAAATTTAAGTGACAGAGCCAGGACACAAACCTAGGTCCTCTGATTTT